GAGCTTACGACAGAGATCTGACGTTCGCCAAGTNAAGGGAGACACGTCCGGNGCCCCTACAAGAGTCATAGTACGCCTCCAGGTTCGCACAGAGATACTCCTCCTGGCCGCGCGTTGCACACGTGTCAAAAACGCAGGTTTGCAAGTAAAGTTGAGGATCTACTGCGCCATGGCAAGTAGTAAACGGACCGGGCGAGTCGGTAAGCACGTCACACGGGTCTGAATAGGTCTGGTTACACGGTCCTTGGGTCGGTGGTGGGCCTATCGGAGGATCACCATGACAGCTGAGGTAGACAGAAAATATTAGGGCATTTATGGTATCACTCTGAAGTGGACAGTTATGGGTTTTTAAATTGTTTGTAGTAAAGTTTGTACTCTTTCTCACATTAATCATTACAATTCAATGTCAATGCAACATTGTGTCTAAAGTGTGGTAATGTGGAATAACCAAAACGTTCTTGTGTCTGATTTCGTATTGAAATTTCTGTGTTTGTAATGATAATCAGGTTGATAATTCTGGGGAAAAGTATTTTTTCCTCAAAATATCTCAATTACAAGCTTGAATCCACGTAACATACGCATTGGTGTCAGTCTCCCAGCTATTCCCGAAGTCGTTCCAGTTCGAGGCGATGTTTCCATTCGGCAATAGAAAGTCATCGTTCTCCATACCATTGTAGTTACCGCCCAGACCACACATCCTATTTCGATATTTATCTGGAATCTCCACCTGTAGCAGTGTTGTAGAACGATTGTTATTTCTCCCCCTTAAGTCCTACATAGTATATATGACGTTGGATCTTGTTTTGTTGAATGTTAAGATTACATTTATTTTCATCGGTTACTGTTCAACAGAAGGAGAAAATCGCCATATATACAAGATAGGCAATCGCTATGGCATATCGAAATAGAGACACTGTACAGTGCTGTACTGTGCACCATGCCCAAGAGAAATGTCTTGTTAATATTGTGAGGAATGCACTTACCTTAACTTCGTGTGACCCATCGTAGAGGATGACCACGTACAATTTTGCCAACTCTACTCGAACAAACCTACCGCTGGGTGTAACTTCGATCTTGCCCAGTGCAAGGCTGAAAGGAAGCGCGGTGGCGATGGTATGCATGGTTGACGGTTCTTTCACCTTGTTTAAGGAAAACATAGCAGTTTGTTTTTAAAACGCAGAGTAAAATTTTTGGGACACCCTATTGTTGCAAAAATAGCTTCAACAGGATTAGAGATGCATGTGCTTAACAGTTTCAATTGATTAAATATAGCAGCAAACAAACACACTGTCAAAATGGAGAAATCCTTTTTTTCGTTGATTATGCAAACAATATCGCCATTTGTCTGAGTTGCATCAGTTAGTAATATCTCTAATATCTCAACCCATTGTTAGTCTTATCTACAAAAAGGCTAAATGTACGTTAAATGTACGTTAAATGCAAGTTATGTATAATGATGTTGACCTTTACTTGGCTTTCTAAATGCTACAAGTATGAAACTCCAGGCAGTTACCACAACGGTATTATAATATTTCGCATAAATAGTAAAAACCAGGTCGTCAGATCCATCCACACCTTGTTGAGTTATGTTGTTGATTTACAAAGTGCCTCACACTTTATCATGACACAACCGAAAACATAATGCCAAAGGTAACATTACCTTCGCACCCAGATGTAATAAATCACGTTTCCTGTCGGCTCGCAAATTGAATGGATGTTCCCCCATCCGTAACTCCTCTCCTATTGGTCCTCACTTCTTACCCCCTACCTACCTACCCCCCGACACATCTTCTTTCGTCGTTGCCACTTCTTGTGAGCGGTGCGCGACTACCCTACCCAGTTTGTGAATAGACAGGAAACTTAGTTCTCTTCGGAGTTTACGAAGAAGAGAAACCCACTTACCGTCACAACTTTGTCTTGAAGAATCCCTATCTCGTACCCGTATGCCATCACGTACACTTCACGCACAACTGACACGGTTGAGGTCACTGGAACTTGTTGTACTTCTACATTAAAATCACTGGTGTTTCCGCAGTCCTTGGCGAACGTGTATCTGCACGGACCTTGGAAATGATGTTCCCTTCCGTCGAATGTTGTATAGTGAGGATCTCCCCATGCAGAGCAGATGGCTTTGTTAATCTTGGGTGGCTCTAACCAATGAGGTAATAGAAACTGTTAGTGCTGCAGCCTTATATATCATCGTTCATGATACTGAGATGGCACCAGAAGATTTACCAAAGGGACAAGTGTATCACTTTGCAGATGGATTATAGATTTTAGACAGCAATGAAAGAGCCGAAAGATATTCATTTTGGATGGGCAATGCTCAAGATGAAGATAAAAAAATGATATTATCCCTGAATATAACACATTAAGCTGCCTGTCATCATAATGCATGCAAGGTTATACTAAATTACTGACTTCATAGACAGAGAATCATGCTAAATTAAAGAATGTAATTGCCATACATCACCATTGCATCTAATGATATGTACTCTGCGGAATAATGGTTACAACAGTATGAATTGAGTTACAGCCTTATATGTTGGATCACATTAGATATCATGCGCCTCATCCAGGCCAAGCTACATGAACTGCATGGAGACAAATTCATATTTAAAATATTTAAAAAAAATGAACTTCGTCATTTTACAGGAGTATTGGTCATATATAAACAAAAGGATAGGTAAAACTTTCTTTTAATCGGGGTCAGAGTGGTGATAATTTGTCAGGAATAATGGTTATTTTGGTAAACTAGTTGTCAAGTAGAGTTAGGGAGTAACTTATCATGGCCTTTTAGAATATTACAACTTGTTTGCTGGCATTTATGTCTAGCAAAATTACTACATTACATTACATTACCATAATCCATTCATACATTACAAAAGTATCGATAATTACGCATAGAGGAGTTTATTTTTTTTTTCTTTCCATCCTATTTTTTAACTTTCTTTTTAAGACCAGTAAAGTTTTCTTAATTGGATATTATATATATAATATACAATTTTGTCTTACCTTTACAAACGATTGTGTTTCCTGCATTGCATTCACATTTCTCGAAATTATCTTCCCATATTTCTCCAAGCTACAATGGTGTGAAGAGGTAAACAATCTTAAAAACAACGAATTTTATAAGATGGTCATCATTATTCTCCAGCAAACACTCACATGACGTAGGGTTGTTGTTGCTAAACTACTGTCTGCTTGAAGAGTATATACTAATTCATTTCATCAGTGCACTACGTTTATGTTGTAATGGATGGCTAGCATATTTATAGTCACTGTGATGATTGATTCATCACAATAAATGACGCTTACCGTATGGTAGAATCCATTGCCGTCGGAGCAACCGCAGTCCGCTTGAGACACGCATTCCTGTCCACTTTGTACGTAGCCTTCATTGCACTCGCAGCCTTCTACACAGGGAAGGGTACAGTTGTCTGAGGCACTGGGGTTCACGCAGGTCGCAGGGCAGGCGCTTGTGCATGATGAGTACGTGCTGTTCGCGGGGCAGCCCATTGCTATCGAAGGTAAAGAGTTCATTCCAGTTGTTAGTTTGTTTGGAATACACAATTACTGCCTTATCGATGGCAACAAACACAATGTCATCAATAAACCATTCATTCATAATCTACGGCATAGTTTGCGCAATTGCGGTTGCTCACGTAGCCTGAAAGGTCTGAAACTTAAGGTAAGGTCTAGATTTTATGCATTACCGGTATGTTGTCAGTATGGTGGCGTTGAAAATTTGTTATTGAACAACCTGTTCCACTATATCTTCCACTTTCTAGACACCTGTCAAAAGAAACGCAAAGCAGTTCATAGATTGAGTCAGAGAACGGCACTTATTAGATTGAGTTAGAGAACGACACTTAATTAGATTGAGTTAGAGAATGAGACTTACGACAGAGGTCTGCCGTCCGCCAAGTAAAGGGAGACACGCCAGCGTCCGCACAGGAGTCATAGTACGCCTCCAGGTTGTGGCAGAGCCCCTGGCCCCGGGTTGCACACGTGTCGAACACGCAGGTTTCCAAGTAAGTCTGAGGATCAACAGCGCTATGGCAAGTAGTAAACGGACCGGGTGACTCTGTAAGCACGTCACACGGGTCTGAATGGTTCGGGTCACACGGTCCTTCTGTTGGGGGTGGGCCGATCGGAGGATCACCATGACAACTGAAATGTACAGAAAATGCCGACACTGCTATAGAAACTCGACGCAAAAGGACAATAATTATATTTTTCTACTGCTTTTCTAGTCAGTAACCAGTAGTCAATAACCATTATTGACCTCTACATATGTACGTACGTTTGGTAATCTTCTCCCATTCGTGTTAGTACAAATCCCTAACATTGACGGCAAAACATGGTAATATGAGATAACCAAAACGTTTCACCTGAGCTGTTTCTGAGCTGTATATCGTCGTGGTGAAATTCGTTTTCAAAGATTATTTCTTAAAATGTAAGGGTTGTACATTGATGATATTTTGTATTTTGACATTTTTTTGCAAAACGATATTAGATGATAGGCCATCTGTATACGTCAGCCACAAGGTTGATATCATTTGGAGAAGATGTGAGATCGGAGAACTTTTTATAGCTAGTTTGTCATTAGCTAGGTCAATAGTAGTAGTAGCAGTAGTAGTTTTTGTAGCTAATTAGCTGTAGAATGCAGAGAATGCAGGGTGGGGTCGCATGGTGTAGCGGCAGAGTGCGCGACTCGGAACCTAGAGGTCCGGGGTTCGAGTCCCGACATGCCACCGATCTTGTGCCATTGGGAAAGGCACTTTACACGACTTTTCTCACTTTGCTCAGGTGAAAATGAGTATTGTCCTGTCATGTATTTATCCCTTGTGTTGGTGGCGGAATTAATACGAGTTGAAAAAACTTGAGTGCGCCGTCACCCCGTCTGGTGATTACATGTTGGGATTAAAAAAAATGCAGAAATCGATTATCATAGACAAACCCAAAACTAAATTTCAAATGTCTCAATTAACATCTATAGAAAATGAAACATTTTGCTAATAATCACGTAACATACGCATTGGTGTCAGTCTCCCAGCTATTCCCGAAGTCGTTCCAGTTCGAGGCGATGTGCCCATTCGGCATTTGAAAGTCATCGTTCTCCATATCGTTGTAGTTACCGCAAAGTCCACACATTTTGTTCTGGTAGTTACTTGGAATCTCCACCTATAGCAGTGTTATATAACAGTTGTTATATTTTACTTGCATATTTTTAAGCCACATGTTTTGATAAAAAATTATAAATTTTGACATTTTACAGTAAAAAACCATACCCTGAAGGTACAATCACCCACGTGGCCACAAAAGAATCGCTAAAACTGTAATCACGTTTCCTGTCGGCTCACAAATTGGACGGATGTTCCCCCATCCGTAACCCTCTCCTATTGGTCCTCACTTCCTACCCCCTACCTACCCTCCGACTCATCCTCATTCGTCGTTGACACTTCTCCTGAGCGGTGCACGACTACCCTACCCATCTGTCTGTCCAGTTTGTGAATAGACAGGAAACTTAGTTCTCTTCGGAGTTTACGAAGAAGAGAACATAAGTTTTTAACATGAATTTGTATATCGGAAAGAGTCATAATTGTCAGAAAAGTGCTAACCTTAACTTCGTGAGACCCATCATAGAGGATAACCACAGACAATTCTGTCAGCTCTACTCGGACAAACCTGCCGCTCAGTGGGACTTTTATCTTGCCCATTGCTAGGTTGAATGGAGGCGTGGCGATGAGGGGAATAATGGATGGTGGTCGTTTCACCTTGAGAAAAAAAACATGAGGTTCACTACGAAGCCAAGTAAGTAGAAAAACAAAATTAACTGTGGTGTTGATTCAAAATCATGCCCATTTCACGTTACACAAACTAAACATTATCAGTCAGCACTTACCTGCTGCAATTTAACTGAACAAACACTGCAATATCTGTTATGTAATAGTATGTTAACCTGACATGTAAAAATAGTACACAATGTAATTATAGTAAACGCATGACGACTAGGCCGGATCTCATAGCTTGTTAACGTTAGACCGCAACATCTGTTATGTAATAGTATGTTTATCTGAAGTGTAACCGACACTGTTAACTGTTACCTGTTCCGAATCTCTTATACAGTCTAATAAATTAAATCAAATCAACCAACACACAGACAAGCAGACTCACTGCAAAAACACACCCAAAACAATATCGCCAAACCCGGAGATAACTTTGATATCTCACCGTCACCACTTTGCCTTGAAGAATTCCGATCTCGTACCCGTAGGCCATCACGTACACTTCACGCACGATTGACACAGATGGGTACGAGGGGAATGGAACTTGTTGTACTTCTACATTAAAGTCACTGGTGTTTCCGCAGTCCTTGGCGAACGTGTATCTGCAGGGACCCTGGAAATGATGTTCCCTTCCGTCGAACGTTGTATAGTGAGGATCTCCCCATGCATAGCAGATGGCCTTCTGTGGCTCTAACAAATGAAGCAATAGAAACTGTTAGTGTTGAAGTAAAAAATCTCCAAAATGACCAACGATGGTGCTAGCACCTGTGCTTATTGGAAACAAATCGGAGTCGTGTGTCGTAACGATAAAGTGTACGCCTCAGACACAAAAGGTCCCGGGTTTGAATCCTGCCTGATGCCCTTTTTTGTGCCCTTGGGAAATGATCTTTACGCGACTTTCCTCACTTCACCCACGTGCAAATGAGTACCTAACTTCCATTAGAGACATCCCTTGGATATAGGACGTTTAATAGAGGTGTAGTGTTTAGGAAAGATACACCCTTCGCACGTTACAGAACCCACCGCACGTGTCGAAAAGAGTAGGGGACCTTCCCGGTGTGAGTGGTTTAAACCTTACAGTCTGGTCTCGAGTTTGACATCTTTGAATAGGTGATAGTCACCTGTTATGACAATCCTTCCAAAGATGTGGTTAATCTTCATAAAGAAACATAATATCAAATGAATGCACCGAACTGGGGGGTACTTAGAAGACATAATGTACCTATATTGAATGGCCTAAGGATATATATTTTTGGTCTGTAAATAGCAACAAAACTGCAACAAATATATACTTGTTTATAATCGATGCATGTCAAAAGTCAGGTAAAGCTCGCTGTTGACTATCATGTCAGGTAAATATGATATATACCTGCAACAAAGGCGTCTCAAATATATAATTTTTGTCTAAACATACAAAAAAAGATTGCAAATTACTTTTTGCTAATATGTGAATGACACGAAGTCTTCTGGGCACATGGCGTGATTATTCCCATACATGTAATTAACCAAATAGATACAAAAATCATAACCCTTTTGACTACTATCTTGTGAATTCATGTATTATATGATTAGATAGGTTTTTCTACATGAACTTTATTTCAACTTTCAAGTCGTCTTACGTGTGCAAGTTGGAACAGGATTATTCCATGTTCTGTCAGATAGGCATGTCGCAGCAGCAGCACCGTTCAGTACGTATCCCGGGTTACAGGTGAAGGTGACCACGTCTGGGTATGAGACCGCTCCGGTAGGACTCACCGCTCCGTTAGTTGGGGCTGTCAAAAGCGGGCAATGATCCACTGTAACGGAAAGAACAGAATAAATATTAGCTCTAAAACATAAAGATAAAAGGAAAGGAAATGAAATCATAACACTTAACCCTCAAACCACCGAAGGTTTTTTTACGACGGATCTTGCCGCACGCGGTCAAAACTGACCCCATAATATTTTTCACGAATATAGCTTTTTCGTTAACGCTATTTTGTGATTTTAATTGTGTTTAGTTTTTATAATCTATGAGGGATAATTTATCATAATAAGCTGCGAATAATTTCTGCCCACTATCATAATGTGTGCACTTGAAACAAGATGCCTTCGGGCAGCCATGTCCATGACTTTTGACCCCAAGCCATAGGCAACTAGGTCTAGGGCCACAATTTTTTTTTTAGTTTTCTGGTTCAACATGTTGAGGTTATTCAAATGAAAGTAGTTTTTAACAGCAAATGTCAAAATAGAAAATATTCAAAGAGTTTAAATTATCAACAAACAAGACGAACAGTTAAAACACCTAGGTCAATCCCTTAGTATGAGTTAATGATATGAACTCACGGGACGCAAGGTAAGTATGCGTGCGTCGGACTAACTGGACGCCGTAACTGCAGTTTATGGTGATTCATTAGGTCTATTAAATATAATAACAAAGTATACATTAATATATTGCACTGGTTGACTTTTAACTCTATTGGTCAGTTTTGACTCCATACGGTGGTTTAAGAGTTAATATGTGCCGTCGCTCATAATGGATCATGACAAAAACCTGTACAACAGGCCCTTTTTCGCGCTATGTACTAAATATACAGATGTCGAACAGCGCACGTATACATAGATGCCAGTTTCCCACAGTTCAGATAATGAAGTTGCACATCCGCCTCATACTCTCACCCCTACGGCATAGCTATGGCCGTGTCAAAGTACATTTCTCGTGTTGCAATTGACCCTTTTCGGCTAGACTAGTTGTCCGGGAGGATTTCCAACTCTGTTATTTAATTACTTGAGGGCATTATTGTGGTTTGGCTGAAATGGTCATGGAAAGATGCACACTGGTGTCTTTTGATATCATTCTGTCTGCCATGTTTTGAAACCAGAAAGATCACACAGATACATTCTAATGTTACATATCAACTTGCAAGTTGTACTAGTTGTACATAATAACCATGATTATTCCATGTTTAGCCAAGTTGCATTTTTCTGAGACATAACTAAAATATAGATACCCCAATATTTTATATTGACCAGCAACCATTAAAAAGTCGCTACCGGACAAAACTTTACCCAATGGAACAACATAAACCTACTATCAGTTCCGCAGCCTAGAATTTCCACCCGCATTGCTAAGTGCCCATGCCAGGTTTGAGGGTTGAAGCGCACATAACGGGCATCAATGGGGTTGTCCAGTAGGTTCGTTACAGGTGTGTTCCTATCCGTGTTTCCTGTAAAAACCTGGAAAGCAAAGGAAACAAGAATTCGGAGATCTCATACCTACATGAAATGTATGAATTTTTGTAAATGTTTTTATTGGGCTCATTGACTATGGAAATAAGGTCGTAATTAGCACAATCTATAGTTTTGTAAATTCAAATAACAATATAAAAAAATTCTGCCATGACGTTTTCTAGGTGAGGCCGAGAACTTTTGGATCACCCCTCGTATGTTCAGGACAAAAGATAAAAATAGGAATTCTGCTGCAGTACCAAGGTCATCCACCATGCAGGAGGCCCATATGTGACCGTTACCCTCGTCTTCCTAAGACTTTCCAGCATGCCAAATATCATCACAATCAATTAGGGCGTTCTGAAGTTATGCTGACTAGACTACAAATGTGCGGAAACAAACACACACACACACACACACACACACACACACACACACAGACACAGACAGACACATGTACACAGGCACACACGTACACACACACACGCGCGCGCGCGCCAAAAACAATACCTCTATTTATCATGGAGGTACAAATTGAGCGGGGGTATTTCATAGTCTTCTGTAGCTCTTAGTTACTATTTATTACCCATTGATCTTCATACGTTTGACAAACGTAGCAAAAACAAACATTATTTATGAAAGTTACATGTAAGCTCATGACATCCATAGCCGTATAGTATCTAGACATTTTCTCAAGCGAAGAAAATGTGATCATCTTTGGAAAGTTTTGAAATGATGACTTGGAACTAGAGCTGTGTACCGGTACGCAGTACCGATACTGTACCGAAAAAATTGATTAGGTACAGGTCCAAAATACCTAATCCCTCAGTACCGGTACCGTACCTAAACAATTTCACACCAATTTTATGCCTATTTGTGACCTCAAATGTGTAAATAGCTGGTCCACAATGGGTCCCTGTGTAAGGACAGTGTGTTCATGAAAACAAAAACATCTTAGTTTTGCCTATATTTTATCTGAGCATTCGCCATAAACAAAGAATAAATCTTAACTACCAAGTTTATTAATTTTTTTTGTTATTGAAGGAGTTCAGAAGAGCATATAAATTGGTCGAATTGTTCAGGTACAGGTTCAGGTCCGGACCTGTACCTAAACCTTTGTACCTATACCTGTACCTGTACCTAAAATTTGTTTAGGTACACAGCTCTACTTGGAACGGAATCGACTAATAGCTTTAAAAGATTTTAGTACCAAAGAAATATGTGTAATTGGACCGCACTGCGGAATTATTGACTCTCTCCAGTATGCTTACATATAGTACCTTATCTAAGCCGTCTCTGCCTGCATATGTCGTCCAAATAGTTCCATCTACACTGTACTGGAGTTTGTATGACGTCACCCATTCTTCAACAAGATCCAATGCGCCACCTTGGGTAATGGTGCCGGTGACGCGCTGCTCTTCTCCTAAATCCACCTAATAGGCATAATTCATTGGCTTTTGTTAACCCTCAACAGTACACCTTCCCGGACTGATTAATCTGTACACCTGGGGTCCGCGCGGACCCCAGAGCAGTTTTTTGCTATTTTTTAGAAATTATCAACATGCTACCAGCTCAATTGTTTTGCAAACTGATGTGGGAACCTCTGTGTCCACATTGCAAACAAATATCATACATTTTGAACTTTTTCTATTTTTTGGTGAAGAAAAGAAGACAAGAAGAAATACCCGATTTTTAAACCCATTTCAGACTGAAGGGGCTTTTGAGGCCCAACTTTGATCTCAGATAGCGGCTAAACGGCTTGCGCTAGAAGTATCAAATTTGGAGATCTTTCCTAAAATGTCTCTGGAAAAAAGTTCATATTAGTTTGATACTAGTAAGTTGATGTTTTTTGTGTTGCCATGGCAACGGGTTTCTTTTTTCAAAATAGAAGTAATTTTGGTTTAAACATAAAAATTTTCTGAGTTTTATATTAAATTACACTTCTTTTCCAACATTAATAACATCTTACATAATTAGATATAAGTTAAATCATTTAATATGCATAGATATGCTAATTTGATGACGTCATTGGTCAAAATCCAATATGGCGGACTATATTATTAGCTCTGACGTCATATGACGTCATAATTACACCAAAGTTATTAAAATTTAATTCTATTACTACACCATTCTCTGAAAACTTGGTAGACATAAGATGAGTGCATAAAAACATATAAAAACGGAAATAAGGTAATGTATAAGAACGCCAATGTATCCATTATGATCGAAAGCCGGCTGGGGTCCGCGCGGACCCCAAAAAAAAATCAGATATAATTTTTTTTATAAATGGTAGAAACGGAGTTTTCTGCACTGTATTGAGAGACAACTTTGTGGGTGACAATTACCTAAAATTTCAGAAAAAAAATCTTTAGAAACAAAAAAGATACTACAGAATATATAGTGCTGGGGTCCGCGCGGACCCCAGGTGTACTGTTTAGGGTTAAAATATAACAAAATGAACAAGAGCAGAATTAGCTGATAACACTTGACCATGTACGCTGGAAACTTAAATTAGGCTACCTAAAATCGGGGCATTAGTTATCAACTCAGTGCATTTATCAATTAATTCATTCATTATGACAATGTTGGGCACTGTTAGAAAAAAATATATATTTGGTTTACATACACAATTAAGAGTGTCGTCTGTATTCTAAAATGTGCCCTATTGAAAACAAAACATAACATTGGATTATATGTATCAAATATAACAGATTTCATGGTATTGTAAAGACCAACGAAATGTCTACATAACAGAAGATTGAATTGGAAATAATTTCTTTCTAGATATTCAAAACAACATATTCTATCTACCCGCAACCATTGTTGTATGTTCTTAAACCATGGTTTCCAGCCCCTAATTCCGTTTAGCCGTCCGTAGTATGGCTCGTGATCAACACCAGAGTCCGATGATGCTGTGATGCTGCCA